CATGCGGATAGGTATTTCATGTAGTAGAAAAAGAGAAACTGGCTTCATTTTGGACAGCTTTCTTATTGTTTTATAAAGCAGATTTTTATTATATTTTTTTTAACTTGAAAATTTTTTAAAAAAATTATTTTAAAAAACAGTAAGGAAATTATCACAAACAAAGGCTTCATTTGGGATGACTTTCTTATTGCTTCTTAAAGCATCTTTCTAGTACAATAATTTTGTACGAAAAAACTGTTTTAAGAAGCAGTAAAAAAGTCATTCCAAATGAAGCCATAGTCAACCTGCTTCTTAGAAAGCACTAGTGATTTTCAAATGGAGTTCAATTTGAAGGTGTCATTGGCAGAGATTGTAAAAAACGAATGAATTTGATAGAGATTTGAACATATTAAAAGGGAAGCTGAAGAATGTCGACATAAACAAGAAGGATGAGAAGGGTATGTACGATAATGGAAACTTTTCTAGCAAAATATGAAGGAAACCAAATTATAATAGCCATGTCACATCATTTGCTGGATATTGTAAAAAGGTACATGCAAGAACATAAAGACAAAGAACATGAAAATCACTAGGTTAATAGACCTTAATGAATAACAAATAGTGGAATTTTTTTAATGCAACTAATTTGATTTTTTGTTTGTTTTTTTTAATAAAACGTATATTAATACCAAAAAAAAGAGTACATGAGCAAAGAAGTAAAAATCCAAGAAAGCAAAGGAAAATACAAGGGAAATCCAATCCCGAGGGCTCAGCATTTGGCCGAGACTATCAGCTTTCCATAAGGCAAGCTCAGACCGTCCAATTTGGTGAAGAGACAACGCGAAGCAGCCAACCCAACCGAGCAAAAGATCTCCACCAAAGGTTGCCACGAGCCAAGCCCACAAAGAAATGAGCCCCAGCCACATCATTGCCCGGCCAATAGAAAATATAAATCGGAGAACTCCAAAAGACAAGCACAATGTATCAGGATCTGTCAAGCAGAAGGCAGATCCGAAAACGGAGCCAATCACTCTAACGAATCTCCAGAACAATGACTTTTCCACTGAGATATAGTTCAACATTTCAGATCAGTGAATAAACCGAAAGAAGAGACGGGCAGAAGAAGGCTACCAGATTAATGGATTGGTTGACTTAGGCGCGCATGATCTGTTTGAATGTGGTGGAGCGGCATCCGGGGGACCCGTCAGATGGGCATAATTCAGATAATGCCAGCCACTCGTTATGCTGAGACGCGGAGACTGCGTGCTTCTTCCTACGGGCCGGCATATTCAGGTTCAATACGTTGTTCTGTGACCCCGGAGAGAGACCCTCTTCATCTATTGCTCGGGAGAGTATCTGATGAGAGGAGTCTCTTTCATGGTTTTGGAAGGGCCGTCGCTCAACAGATAAAAGTTACTCTAGGGATAACAGGCTTATCTTCCCCAAGAGCGCTAGATACAGATAGTCGACGTCAACCCGGAAGGATCATTCTGATGGAAGAATGAAACTACTAGTCCCAGTAGCTGGGAAAGGGTTTCCAGTAATTCTTTCGATTCAGTAGAGCGAGAACCAACAAATAAACCAAGAGAAGGAAAACAACAGCACCACCCATCACCTTCCACGTCTGCCCCTCCCACGATCCCTTCCACGATAAGCAATAGAAACAGCCGTTGTGTCATGCAACAGAGCAAAAGAATTTCCAGGATCATTAACCCAAAAAGATTCCAAAGAGAAAATGGAATCAGAATCAGACGAACAATGAAGCCAATCAAGATGCACTCCCACATCCAACCCAGAATTATCCCCCACATGATACTTAATGCAACTAATTTGATGCATAGCATACTTTACATGAATTCATGGATTACTAATTATCAATTAAAGCTAACAAATCACTTAATTTTAATATAAATAAGCTATAATTTTAACCTATAGAGAGAGAGAGGCTCTAATATTTTATTAGATTGCTAAGATTTTGTTTGAAACAACTTTTTTTATTGCTTTTTAAAGTATCTTTAATAACAAAAATGTGTAGTTCAAAATTTTTTTGTACAAAACATCTGCTTTAGAAAGTACAGTCCCAAATGAAGCCTAATACTTTATTTGAGAATATTGTCCTAAACAAAGCATAAGTCTTGAGTATAAATAACTTTGAATTTATTAACACTTCCTTGAGCTTGACCCCCTTTTTGTAGGTTTGGATAAAATTTTGTTACGATAAGATAAAACTATAGCATAATAGAAAATATATAATCACACATTTTCCAATTAAATACATAAGGTGAGTAGTCTTGATTAACATAGTTGCCCAGTCTAGCACATAAAACTTAAAAATTATTTATGTGATGGACTGGACTACTATATTAATGAATTGTTATGCATGATTATTAGATTTGATCTTTAATAACTTCTCCAAATTTTAAATAAGAAATATTAAACTCGACAAAATCTAATATACATTTTAATCAAGCCTATTTTGACCAAATACTACCTTAAATAATATATATATTTTTTAAATTAACTTATTAAGTTTTAATTATTTAGTAAGCGATTTCATCTAAATATTTACAATTAATTTATATTTACCTTAATTAAAATTATCATTAAGTTATAAACACTAATCAATACTTTGACTATTCATAATAATTAATGCTTAATTATTTTAATATTTAGTAATAGGTTGTTTAGAATCTTTCTATTTTCTTAGCTTTATTTATTTTTTATATAAAATAAAAATATATTTAATATCTTATTAAGCACGAGATCATTTAGTATGCGGTAGCGAGCCATAAATAGCGGTGGGTGACTGAAGATGAAACAATATGAGATAAATTTTATTTTAAAAATTAAAAGTTTATAAAACCCAACTAAAAGTAATTTTCACTAATTAGATATAGCTTAATTTATTTTAAAAATAAAAATACAAAAAATGACTGATTTAGCTGTATTCTTCATTATTATCAAATAATACCTAATAATATCGAGCAAATATCGAATTTTTTTGACAGGATTTTATCTGGACCAGACGTTCCTCTACGTGCTTTTACACCGGACCCCGGACCTAATAAAAGCAGAGCAAGAGCGTGACGTCCACAATGCAATCCTTCGACAGCGATCGGCAATGTCCATTCCCCTCTTCTTCTCGCACTGGTGATGTATGTCTAAAACATAAATTTATCTTTTTTTTTTTTTGCTTTAAATTAATGCAGTTGTAAAATGTTTTCTTTTAAACGTCACCTCCACGGCATTTGCGACATGACCGCCGAGTTGATGCCGGCCGCTGTGTGCGGCGTGACCTTCATCATTCCTATTCGTTGCCTTGGCGTTTTTCGTTTACTTCAATCTCTTTCTCTTTACACTTTTTTCTTTTTGATTCTCAATCTTTTGCTTGAATCTCTTTCATTCAGACTTTAGGCTCAGTTTGGAGTCCATAAAAGCAAACTGATGGATATAGGTAGAATGAACTGGAGTCCTAGTCTCTTAATAAAAGGTTTAAAATTTCAATCCAAATCTGACTCAATCAAACCTGTATGATGTAACATGAAAAACACTTGATTCGTCTAGCACAATACCATCACATAAAAGTTTGTACCGAAGACTCATCAAAAGAAATTCCAATGCAGTGCAGCTTCAACAAATTATTAAAAAAAAAGAACAAGCCTAACCGGTGCAATGTCAAACTCAAATTCTTAATATCGAATTTTTGTTTTACCTCCTTCCTGTATCTATTTAAGGCTTAGCTTCTTTTGTATTCTCTGTCGTCTTCTTCTGTATTCTCTGTCGTCTTCTTCAATCTTGTTGAAGCCTTTTTCTCCCTGTTTTATAAGCTTCAAATACTGAAGGAATGATATTTCATGGGTTTATATTACTAATTGGTTTCAATGGGCTTTAATTTGGGTAGCTTCTTGATCCTTGCTTATCTAACAGCGATTGTGAGGTTGGTACCTTTTGCTTCTTGTCTCGATGGGTCCTTTGGTTCAAGATTTGTTCGTTCTATGATCACTGATCAGTTTAAGTTAGCGGTAATTCTTTTCTATCTTCTTCAGTACTAATGTATAATCTTCTTAATTTGATATGTTTCATTTATATTGCTGAATTCACTCATCTGAATTGACTTACAGAATAAAGTTCCTTACTATTTTACAGCAGTTTTTAACTATTGGTGATTCTTTTTTGTTTCCATGTTAATGAATCTCTTGTTGGCGTCAAATTTTTTGTTCATTGTTGAGTTAAAAAAACATCTTTTGCTGCTATGTTAGATGATTGTTCACCTTTTTATCCTTCATCCACGAAAATTTGGAATTTTCTCCTATGTATTTACGTGGATGCACAAGTAACATATGCTATTACAGGTATTCATATCTGTAAATTCATCTTTCTTAGGAATACTTTTAAATAAGGTTAATTCTTTTTTATGTTTTAGGCCAAGAATTACTTGTTGGTAGTAGGAAATAAGCCAGATTAATTACCTTTTGACTCTTATAACTATGCTCCTCGTTGAAGCCATGAGCCATCAGTTTATCTTGCCAGAGGTGCTGCACGTCGAGGCATAGTGATTTCAATGTTTTTAAACTTATGAGATTTATGGAAGACCCGAGATCGACTAGGATCCGACTGATTGTGATGCCATCACTTTTTACAGTAACGTATAGAAGGCGATTGTGATTTGCTCGTTCCGAGCATCATGTTGTCTTTGGCGAAGGTGATGATTGGTTCATTCCAGGCTTGTAGCATATATTTCATGTTACGCTCAACAAATACACCTCATATCTTTCGGGGTCTTTGAGAGCCTAAATCAGAGTCTCCCGAAGATCTTTATACATTACAAGGGCATTGTATATACTGAGTTGTGTTGAGATTTTTCTTAGATGATATAAGATGTTATAATCTATCCATTTAGCTGAAGCGTCTTTCTTCTTATGGTCTTTAGGGATAATGTCGTCATTAACAATTATCTCATTCCCTTTATCTTTAATTGGGACCCCATTCTTTGGTGAATATGACAATATTTTGCCACTTCTCAACAGTACCTAGGCCACTTCATCTGGATCAGACTCATTTGATAAAGCATTTTTTTCAGAGTTGGCTATTGTCACGTCTAGAGATTTACTTGTGGACTAAGAATCGCCCTCTAGTCTCACCTGCTCTATTTGCGACACTATGTTGGGATCTTAATCATCTTCATTTGAAAAATACAGATCTTCTTCTGAACTGTAATCCATTGGTGACACCATTAAACAGGGTTCAGGGGCCGCTTCTTCAGCATATTCCGCCCTAGCCAATATCTCTAATGTCGTCGAGATGACTTGCATGTCTCCGTAGGAAGCGATCCATCATCTGCTTTTTCTTTGTTTTCATCTATTTTAAGCTCTTTCATGGAGTCAATAAGCTTAATAGGTCGCCTCGTTGTCTGGTAATATTCGCCAAAATTATCGATAGTCTTTTGGGTTGCTGTCTTCTTCTCTTTAGGCTTCTTTGGTTTGACTTTCTTTTTGTAAAACTTTGATTTTGTTTTACCAGACTTAGATGAGCTAGCTTGGCTAGAGTGATATTTGGAGGTGGATGCATGTGTGACATACAACCACTTTAAATTTAACACTAGCTCAATAGGAGATTTTCACCTAACATCGAGTACTCCTTTTAGCTTCTTTAACATTTTAGTTGTCTTCTTGGAGACCATACTCTCTTATCGTTCTTCTTGAATCAGTTCTTTTTATGTCAGTTCCTTAGGCAGGGGTACGGAAGAGGTCGTGACCACCTGAGTGGATTCTTTTCTGGGATGAATTAAAACGTTATATGACAACGTGAAATCTCCCCTTCTGTACTTCTTCTCTAGTTAGTCTTTAAAGACTAACAATCTTATATTGATTGGTTGATTACCCAATGATACGTGCAGTAATTTGGGTCTCTAATATGCTTTTAGACTCTTCAGGCCTTTTGTATTCTGGCAATTCCAAACCAGCCTTAAGTGCTTGTCGGAATAGTTTGGTGATACTTTTCCTTTTGAATGAATATTCCTTATTCATTTTCTTCTTGAGGGATGAGAAAGTTCTCTCACAAGCTCCCATTGTTTGTCTCAGGTGCTCCCCTCCACCAGGAAAGGTTTGAGGCTTATCATTTCCCCCAAGATCTAGTTTTGGTTGAGGGTTAGAATTGTAGGCTTGTTTTGGCTTATCCTCACACTGCATTGGCTAGTTGCCTTTATCTACATTGTATATTGCTCGTTTGCTTTTGTCAACATCATACGCCACCTATTTCTCTTATCAGTTCTGAAAGAGAATGTGGAGTAGGCTTAACTCTTCCTAGCATCAGGGGCTTTGACCTTTTTGGGTATATCAGAGTGCCTTTTTAATTTTGATAAGTTTAATTTTTTAGACTTTGCCACCCTGTCCAGCAGATCTTGGAAGATTGTAATGGAAGTCATGCAACACAAAGGGTTGCATTTGTGATGTGAAACTACTAGGAGTTACGAGACTGCATGATTTTTTCATGTTGTTATTCGCATTTCATGCTGAGATTGCGCCGACGGGTCATATATTTCATCACTGTCTCGTCGTAGCGTCTGTCGATGTCCTCATCAATTTGTCATCGATGTTTCCCATCAACAATTGGACTGCATGATTTTTTCATGTTGTTGTTCGCATTTCATGCTGAGATTGCGCCGATGGGTTATATATTTCGTCACTGTCTCGTCCTTCTTTCTCTTATCCAAGGCATGATCAACGATGGTAGCCTTCTCCGTCACACTGGCGATTCTCTTCACAAATAAAGCTTCTAATTCTACAAACGTCTTTACAGAATCATTTGGTAGTTCAACATACCATTCAAAAGTAGTTGTTGTTAAGTTGTTGATGAATTGCCAAAACAATAGAGCGTCATTGCCTCTCGTATTCCCGCAGGTGCTTTAAACTGTGTTAGGTGCTGTATGAGATTATTGTTGTTGTTGAAAGTATTAAATTTTGGAATAGAATATCCCTTCGGATATGACACATGATCGTATTCCTACTGGGTATGGGCGACCTTTGCCTATCGACTTCTCTGTCTGTTCAAAGGCTATAATGGCTTTAATTTTTTCACTGATTAAGCCCTCTATCTATGTGACCGTTACAGGCTCGGAGGTGCTTGCCACATTTTGTGGCATATGCTGGTGGGTTAGGTCATCGGCTTCTTTACCGCCTTCAGGCAAACCCTTTACTCTTGAGGCTTAGGGCACTAGGGGATTTTGCGGGTTTGCTGGAGTGCTGCTCGCAGCTTGATTGACTGGCTGAGCTGGTGTAGGGCCTATAGAAGCGAACTTCAGCATCATCTCCATCATCGTCGTCATCTGAATCATCATCTGAATCATTTTCTCATTCAACTGAGAGATTTTTCTATCATTCATCCTCATTTGTCTCCTCACTTGCCTCATCATTTCTGCAAGTGTAATAGCTTCGACGGCGAGGGGATTTTCATCGTCCTCTTCCTCTCCTCCTAAGGATCGGGCACTTCTGCTAGCAACGGATCTAACTCTGTAGTGGCGTCGGTGAGCACGTCCATATGACAGCGATTGTCGATCATCCTCATCATCACTGTTATTGCCATTGAAATGGCTTACCATGTAAACCACTTCAAGTTAAATAGTATCCTTTTCATTCTCTTCATTTTCTTGTACCCGGAGTTTCGAGCGATGTCGCCACTGGATCTCTAGTTCATTGCTTGGGATGAAGAATTCTTCGATTTGTGGACTGTGGTTGAAATTGGCTTCTTCCGTTGACGGTGCTGGTGAGTGACGAGATCCTTTGGAGGATTCTCCAGGGTGTCGACCGTCATGGTTACTTTCACTATGGGCCTTCTTTTAGACCCATTTCTGACAACTTCTATGGGCGGGGGTGGATCTCCGTGAAGCTGCACCGGATGTCACGCTTGAACATACTCTTTTTTCTTTATAAAATTTCTCTCTATGAGGTTTAAGCCTCCATATCTGCTTTCTCTTCCGCTGGCCCTTTCGGCGACGGATTATTGGACATGCGGTCTAAGTGTCACGCCTCGATGTGCTTCACGCGAAGCTTATTTTCTTTCTCTCTTTTCTCTACCACAACAGATGGCAGCTCTCTCAGAGGGGTTCTCCTGGCCTCGATCATCAACGGCCTCTAAAACTTCTTCATAGGCCCTTTCTCATTTACTGTATTCATCACCTTGTACACTCGGGCAGACAACATTTCGGGCTCTCTTGTTTTTTGAGGGGTCGGAGCTTGGAGTTATGCTCCTAGAAAGATTGTTTGATCTCACAGGAGGAGCTGGTCCTCTTTACTCACTTCAGATTAACAAACTTGTTCTGAGTGGGAACATATGTCTCTGACTCTTGGGCTAGCAGGTTAGAAGGATGGGCTGAGAATGGGCTGAGAGTGACAATTGTTGAGCTCGCAGCTCTACATTTCTCCTCCTCCTCTGTCTTCTATTAAGCTTTCCTCTAAATGAGAAAGCTTCAATATCATACCTCCCAAGTTCTATAGATTCCCTTGGTGAGGTGTTGGTGTTTGCATTCACTACAGAAATTATCCTTCCAGCAACAACCCTCTTCGTAGTTGGGGTTTCCGACTGGGATAATCTTTAAAGACAGAAATTCTTCCGTAAAGAATGTCCCTTGCAATGGTTCGTGGCGCTGGCAGATGCGCACGCTGTATAGTAGTCCTAGCATAATGGGGCCTCCTAGCAGGCTCTTCAGAATTTACGCCGTATACATGAATGATCGCAACCCTTGCAGTAGCTGTTGAGAATTCAAGTCCACCAAACTGGATGGTGGCTTCAGTACTTCCGATGTTGATAACGACATTTGCCAGCCAGATACTGATTTGGATGTAACAACTTGGAAAAAAGAATAATAATTTGAGTTTTACAATAAAAAAAGAACGAAATAGTTCAATTATTATTTTCTAGTTGTTTAGTATTTTTTTATTGATTAGAACTCACAACTCGGCTAGAACTTGATTTTTTTTTTTTTAGTCACGCTTTTAGCTGATTTGAATTGGCCCGAATCTTATACGATTTGTCTAGAACTCAAATTCTTTTTTGTTTTGCGGAAAATTGAGGGCCATTGGCCTCATATCATTGTCTATAAAAATGATTTATAAGTGTGCAGCTACAATCAGAGTAAGAAATGCTCCAAAATATGAAAAAAATAACTGTTACAATTTAGGAAACATTTGAGGCTCACAAAAAAAACTCCTAAGCCAAAGTAGCTGGCAACTCAGCTTGATTGTTTGTTGTTGGGAGCTTTGACGGTTAAATCAAGAGCATCTCAAGTTCGAAACTTGCGTATGTTATGTGTGCCGTGTCCGTGAGTTTTGCTTTAATTGGCTTGAAGTCCCAAAAAATAGTAGCCCAAAAGTGTTCAGTTAGGGCAGCCAAAAGTTTTCATCGCTTGATTACTCAAATCGAAAAATTGCACATACAAGCGTTCCACAATGAAGCAAAATAGATCGATATCATCTAGTAATAATACGCATCACATAAAATCTGGAACACCCCTTACTCCCTTCCTATAGTCTTATTTAAGGCTAGCTTCTTTTGTATTTCTCTGTTTCATCTTCTTCATCTTGTTGAAAGCCTTTTTCTCCCTGTTTTATAGAGCTCAAATACTGAAAGGAATGTTATTTCCATGGTTTT